TTGCTGGCTGACCACAGAGCATGTGTTGGAGAATAGAGAAGGTAGAAAGGCAGAGTGTCCCATCAGAATGAATAGTGCTCAGTGGGCTTGAGGTAAACTACTTAAATTCTCTGAATGTTAGGTGCATTATTAGTAATATCTAGGCAAGACAACATCTACTCCAAAGGGTAGCTGTTAGATGCAAGTGAGGTAATTGAATGGAAATTCTTTGTAAGAGGTGAGGTACTGTGTGTTGATGGATAATTGTGGACACCAAGTGGTAGTGGATGATTACAGAACTATAGTGTTTTGTGCTAGAAGTAATCCTTCACATATGAACAATAAGAATATAAGTGAGACCTAACAAAACTTTTTCCTAAAGCTGGGTAAGAGTACAGCAGGAACTAGAAATCCAGTCTCTTAGATTGAGGAAAATTAAAATTGCAAGTCTACATCAATTTTCCAGCCAACTGGATTTCCCATCTTGCATCAGTTTAATCTGGCTAGTTCAGTGACTAACATGCAGCCCACTTCAACTGACCACAGAAGAGCTTGAGAGGCACCGTCACATCTTGAACAGCCAAGGGCAGAAATTCTGACTCCTAGTGTCATACTTGAGATCACATTCCATCTCACAAATATTTAAGAAAGGATGCAAGGGCAAGTTGCCAAGTAGTACAACACAAAACAAATGTCTCATTGTGTGTTTTGCTGCACAGGGTATGGTTTTGTGTGGCTCAAGCTGTCAAGTGTCTGCAGCAAGAATGTGATTGTTATTTATAACAATGGTGACTTTTTTGAGGGCATAAAGGAGATCCTACTCTTGTGACATGCTCCAAAATACTAAGGAAAGAACTGCAAAGAAAATGTTCAAAAATGTTCCAAACGGGTTGAGAAAACTTGTGAACCCTGCCTGAACTTTTATTAGATTGTCCCACCACTCACCCGTTTGACATCAGAACAAGGAAAGCATTATTTATAACAGCATGTGTGAAATCCCAGAAGAGATGCTTGAAAGAATTAAAGTGAAAAATCTGTCCCAAAGAGACTACAAGCAGAAAATAAATGATCAGATGGGAAAACATGTAAATCAAAATGTGAGTCTATTTTTTTTCTTTTTTCTATCCTTTAGAGGAAACAAAAGTTTTTCTTTAGCTATTAGTGATACAGGGCAAAGCACCTGGTACACTGGGGGCTACAATCCACCAAGCCACGTGGTCACTGCCGAGTGAGAAATACAGGAGAGTCACCATGTGTTGATTCTTCCCCATATTGTCTGCAGAATGGCTGCTGCCATTGAAGAAATAAGAAAGTAAAGATTCTGGAGAAGGAACCAACACCTTGAAAGCATTTGGTACATAAGATTTATAAAGCACTTTCACAAAGGTCTGCTTGAATGCATACCTCATGATAACATGATGAAGTATATATTGTTACCCACAGTTTATAGTTGGAGAAATGAGATCACAGAGAGAAACTCCAGGTTCCAATAGCACAACCAGCTGTTTCCTGCTTGGGTAACTTCGACGAGCTGCCAAGCCTCTCTCATGCCCCTCTCCTGTGGATAGATGTTTTTTAAACTGTATAGAGCTCACTCTCCAGGTATGATTTCAGAGAGTGGCAAGAAGACTGGACATGCAAGTGTGCCACAGCACGCAGCCTTTCATGCCATGTAGACCAATGTGTATCCAGTTCTGTGGAGTGGTGAAGCTTGTCCCTATTGGCCACAGAGCAGTTGTCTCCTTGCTGCTATTGTATGGTGGCCCAGACCTGGTGGGATTATTCTACCCTGTACCATGAGTTCTTCTGAGCATCTGGAAATGTGGCATCTTCCACATACATGCACAGCTTCCCTTTGCCAAAGTCCTGGGCACTCAGAGTTAACAGCCATGAATAGAAAGGATATTCACTGCCCACATCCTTTGGGGTTGTTCAGTGCCTGTGTCATGCTGGTCACTGTTTGAATACTGGCCCTAAGGGGAATTGTTGTTACTACCTGCAGGTATGCCAGGTGGGTCCATAGGAAAAGCATGTGCCTACTGAATGTTGAATCCCACTGCTGTTAGGGGAAGAAGGAACAAAGCAAACACACTGATAAGAAGACAACTTGGCCTTTGTGAGCTTTAGGTTTATTAAGAGCTGAACAGAAAAATATGGGCCATGTTAACCCTAGCCAGTAAGTTATGTCTCTCCTTATCATTTGGACCCATTGTCTCGAGAATGGGGTGGGAACTCCTCCTTTCACACTGTCATGTTTTCTTGGATACTAAGAACATCATTTGAAATTACTAAGCTTATTGGATGTCTTTGGCATTTCAGCTCCTTGAGCAGGGGTACAAGTGCATTTTTTTAAGCACTGTTTATTTCCTTCTTATAATGGGTCGTGAGTGGATATTGAGAATTAGAATTGGGCAGAAACTCGATGTGGCATTAGTCTAAAAACTTGGGGGCTGAGAGTTGTCACTGAGGCCTGATTCCTGCTGTAGCTTAACTCCCCCCAGCTGCTGTCAATTATCAGTGTGTCCTGAAGCTGGTGGTACTGGGAAGTGGGTGCAGGGTGAGAAAGAGGACATACAGGCCACAGGCAGGAATTGGTTCAGGGTTTTAAAACCAGACAACCCTGATGTGTTACAAACCTAAAAATGAAATTCTTTACTTTTTTTCCATGAAGTGGGAAATCTAAAATAAGTCTCCCTGTTAAGCCACCTGCACTTCAGTCACCTTGTGTAAAATGGGAATATGATTTCCATCTTGGCCACTAGTAGACTGTGATGAGGATGTTTTAGTCAACACTGTGTACAGTGTTATACCTCAAGTGGAAGGGAGCCTCGTTCTTGTCCAGGAAGAACAGACACTGATAGGTCATTTAGGATTTTTATTTGTTGTCCTGATCAAAGTTATCTTGTTTCTTTTTCTTTCCTTCCTTTCTTTCAGGATGAGGTTTGAATGAGGGCCTTATGCATGCTACGCAAATGCTCTACCACTTAGCTAATATCCTCAACCTTCAAAGTTATCTTGCTTGTTAGATGATTGAGCTATCCCCTTACAGAAAGTACATGTGTATTTTTCTTGCAGGCTGAATATCCACCTAATCACCATCTCTGCTCCTGTCTGGTTTTGAGAAAAAGATAATTGCAAATAACTTGAAAAAAAAATGTTTTGACCATTCTTCACTTTTTGCTCTGTTGCTTGAGGAAATTATAGATCTCTTATGTGTTTATAAACAATTAAAGTTAATAAGAACAAGTAAGGAAAGAAAAACGTCTCCTCACAACTCCTCTCCACATGTGGTTCCAGGGTGACTGATGGTCTTTGTTGGTCCCTTTCCTGCCAGGTCGGTGGCCACACGATGCTGCCCATTCGCTGGATGCCTCCAGAGAGCATCATGTACAGGAAATTCACCACAGAAAGTGATGTCTGGAGCCTGGGCGTCGTGTTGTGGGAGATCTTCACCTACGGCAAGCAACCCTGGTACCAGCTGTCAAACAACGAGGTGTGTAGTGACTCATGAGAGCCCCCCTCCCCAGGCTAAATTCCCCTGGATGGATGGAGGCCTTCTCTTGGGCTGAAATCGGGGCATGGGCTTCCATGGCTGTGTTAGGGGTGGCAGAACTTCCCAAATAGCCTGCTGTGTACCTAAACGCCATGATGGCACTAAGGAATCACTTCGTGCTGCTCATGTAATAAATAAAGAGCAGATGTAGCATTCCAGTGAGACTTTGGGTCTTTTGTTTATAATTTATAATTTGCTCCAATGAAGTTGCAAATTTATTTCCTTTCCTCACATTTCACGAGAACATTAACTATTAGTGAAAAACTCAACCATTTCATTTTACTATTTGATTTCTTTTTGCAAATATCGTCATCCCTTGGTATCCATGGGGACTGGGTTCCAGGATCTCCCATGAATACCCAAATTTAGAATTCTCAAATCCCTTATGTAGAATATAGTATTTGCATATAATCTATGCACATGTTATGATATATTTTAAGTTATCTCTAGATTGTTTAGAGTACTAATACAATGCAAATGCAATATAAAGAGTTGTTACACTATATTGTTTAGGGAATCATGCCAAGAAAAAAAGCATATGCATGTTCAGTACAGATGTGATTATTTTTTCCAGATATTTTAGGTCTGCAGTGGTTAAATCCACAGATGTAGAACCCACATACATGGAAGGCTAGCATCTTTATGAGGTTTCTCCCATCTTTCTCAGATCCATGTCTGTCTTTTTAAGCCAATTCCATTATCCAATATGCCTGCTTATTTCTGTAGCCTGTCACTCAGCACCTTAACATAAGACTGATTTGGGTTCCAAGAGTCCCTCTTGAGGAGCATTCCTCATAGATAAATCATTTCTCTACCAGTTTTATGAAAAATGGATATAAACCAATCTAATTTATCATGATGTAAACCAACCCATACTAATTACTGCCTTCCTTCTGAAAAAAAAATTGATTGGACTCCTTTAAAAAAAAAGTCATATCTCACAAGAAGTTAGAAAGGATAGAGGGGAGATAGAACAGAGAGAAGATGGATAATGGGAATAATAATGAAAAGTTGGGTATGGTCAAATAATCTTCAGCAAATAATATTAAGTATATAATTTTATAAAGATCTGGAAGAGAGTATTTTGATGCGATCAATGTTTAAGAAGATGGGAATGCTAATTACCTGATTTGATCACTATACATGGTAGATATGTATTAGTCATGCTCTATGCCAGATAGAGTTGCAATTATTATATGTGAACCTTTTTAAAATTTTTTTAAAAAGAGCCTTCCCTTGACTCCTCTTGGCACTGACATTTCTTTCATCTGCATGGCTTTTTCTCCTGTCTGTGATTTCCATCCAGGTGATAGAATGCATCACTCAGGGCCGAGTCCTGCAGCGACCTCGCACATGCCCCCAGGAGGTATATGAGCTGATGCTGGGGTGCTGGCAGCGAGAGCCGCACATGAGGAAGAACATCAAGGGCATCCACACCCTCCTTCAGAACTTGGCCAAGGCATCTCCTGTGTACCTGGATATTCTAGGCTAAGGCCTTTTCCCCAGACCAATCCTTCCCAACGCACTCCTCAGACGGGTCGAGAGGATGAACATCTCCTAACTGCCGCTGGATGCCATGACACTGCTGTCCTGCACTCTGACAGTATTAACAAGACTCCGAGATGCTTTCAGAGGGAAGCGATGTGTACTTCTCCATCCACAGACACAGTATTGACTTCTTTTTGGCATTATCTCTTTCTCTCTTTCCATCTCCCTTGATTTGTTCCTTTCTTTTCCTTTTCTTTTTCTTTTCTAGCTTTTTTTTGTCTTCCCTGCTTCACAATCTTACCTTCTCTTTTTAATCAAATCTGGCTTCTGCATTACTATTAACTCTGCATAGACAAAGGCCTTAACAAACCTAATTTGTTATATCAGCAGACACTCCAGTTTGCCCACCACAACTAACAATGCCTTGTTGAATTCCTGCCTTTGATGTGGATGAAAAAAAGGGAAAACAAATATCTGACTTAAACTTTGTCACTTCTGCTGTACAGACATCGAGAGTTTCTATGGATTCACTTCTATTTATTTATTATTATTACTCTTCTTATTGTTTTTGGATGGCTTAAGCCTGAGTATGAAGAGGAAAACTTGTGTTCAATCTGGGAAAACTTTATCTATGGGAGATTAAAACCAGAGAGAGAGAGAAGATTTATTATTATAAACCACAGTATGGGAGAAACAAAGACAACCATTGGGATCAGCTGGCATCAGTTCCTACTTAGGAAAACCCCAGCAACTGTCAGCTGGGAATAATGTTTTCGGCACCTTCCCCTGAGGACCTTTTTGAGGAGTAAAAAAGACTGTTGAACTCTGTGCCATGGACTAGTCTTTTCCCATCACCAGAAACACCAGTGTGTGGTAGAGAGAAAAGATGGCTACTATAGTACACAAGGTGGCACATCATACGCTCAGACGGTCTTGTCTCGGTCACGGTGATAGCAGTGTTATCCACTGAGCCTTTGTCAAATTCAGTTGAAAAGAGGTGGATTCTTGTCCAGAGATCATTTCAGGGTCAGGTGGGAAATCCAAGGATTCGGAAAAGATAGGACAAGCTCTCAATTTGGAGGCAAGTTTCTCTTATATTGAACTTTTCAGATAGCACCTCCCTCTGACCCCCGCCCTTCACTCCCACCTGTCCTTTTAACTGTGCAAGCAAAATTGTGCATGGTCTTCGTCGATTAATACCTTGTGTGCAGAAACTACCGCTCCAGACATCGTGCCCCTGGTAGGTAGAGCAGATCCATAAAAGGTATAACATATCAATGAAGGGAAGCTAATGGAGTTCATTAGCTGAGAATAAATGTCTCTGTGCTGTATGGCTGGTGGTGATGGGTTTTACCCAGTATGGACCCTGAAGCCTGGATATCTTCATCCACGTTGAACCCACGGGATTGTGGGATGGGCAGAATCCATCCTGGAGGGAAAGGAAACCTCACCTGGGGACATCACACACATTCATGTTCAGTGTACACAGGCAATGTCTCTTGCTCTGGGCTCTGGTTGGGAGAGTGGTTTCATTCCAAATGTATTCCATTGTCAGTATGCTGTTTTGTTTTCTTCACTCCATTAAAAAAAAAATGTAAAACTAAAACATTTGGCACAGCATGCCAATGGGAGGCTGCGCCCAGACAGAGCATTGGAGGTATGCTTCTGGGCACAGTTATTGATTTTGCAAAGAGAGTGTAAATTTAAATAGAAATTTACAGTTATTTGGATAGTCGGTTATACCAAGGGAGAAAATTATTTCTGTTCCTCAAGAAAACTTGCTACCCTCTGTGAGGGGAATTTTGCTAAACTTGACATCTTTATATCATGAGCCAGATTGAAAGGGAGTGATTTTAATTCATTTTAGGTTGTTTTATTTAGTTTTTGTTTCTGAAGGTGCAAGAGCTCTGTTTAGGTTTCACTTGTGCCCGTTAATCACTAGAGCACCTTGTTTTCCATTAGAGGCTTTGAAAGCCAGTGCTCAAAAACTTCAAAAGTGTAAATTATCAGAGAACAAAAGGAAATCCAGTAGCATCTGTGGTCAAGTGAGGGGGTTGGACAAGATGATCCTTTCAGCCCTTTGGGTTCTGTGCTGGCCTATGAAATACGGGAGTTGAGTTGTTTGTTCTCTTTGTTAGTGAAAACAAACCCCTCCAGAATACACAATTAATATAATGAAAGCCATATCTCCATGATATAGACATGTGTGTTATATATCATGTCAAGGGCCCGTGGTACTGTTAAAATACTGTGGAACTCTGTGAAGCAGTAAGGAAGGGGCAGATTTGTACAAACTCTTCTAGATTCCATCAGCAATGACCTGAAAACCTACAAAGGTTTGTCACTCTGTGTGTCTGGCCAGCTGCTCTGAGAGAAAAATCTGCAAATTATTTATTTTATTTTAATAGAGAGCAATGGAGATAGTACTTTAAGAGATCAAATTCAAGGAGGGCTGTGTAGTTTTATAGCTAAGATTTGTTTAAAACAGATGAAAAGATGGAAACATTCCATTCCATTTTTTGTGTTTTCTTATGAAGGAATAAAAGCAAAAAAAAAAAAATCTTCACACCTTCTGACAAGTCCCTCAAGGTCTTGAAACAAAAGGTTCTATGCAAGTACAAAGTTTTATAGTTATTTATACTGCTTGTTATTATTATTTCCTCTGTTGTCTCAAGAGTATGTGCTTATTTCAGAGATGTCTCACATTGAAAGAACATCAGATTGTTTTAAAAATAGTTGATGAGCTACAGAATATCTTAAAGTATTCATCATTACTCCTCTATAACTCACTTTCTCATGGTCTTCAAATTTTTAGAAAAGCAGCATCCTGGTTCTGAAATGTACTGGTCACCAAATATGGCCTACCATCAGATATGTTAAAAACTATAATTATAGCAGTGACAAAACTAATTCTCTAACTCAAACCAAGTCTGACAGTCATTTCCACTTACAAAGTGTCTAAGTTTTCCAAACACGTTTTGTATGTGTTTGCAAATTATTCCTGTTTTTTTGTAGGTGAGGAAATTGAGACTCAGAGAAGCTCAGAGGCATACTGAGGTCTCCTGTCTAGCTTGTGGCACCAACAGGCCTTCATCCAACTACTCTGACTTTATAAATCCATGATTCTGTCCACTAGAAATACTAATATACCAACAAACAGTTCAGAAAAGAAAGCACGCTAACTAATTCATGAATCAGGATATGAAATTACGAATTTTGTTCATACAAGAGATGGCAAACATCAGAGACATTGTGATGTATGATCATGCTCTTAGCTTCAGCTTAATCTTTGTACACTGAACCAATGTCATAATCAGGCTTATTTAGAAAACACTTTGAACTATGCTATCAAGGATTATATCAGAATTCATATTATACATATGTTCACATCAGCACTACCTGTGATATTTTCATGTATTTATATATGTGTTATAAATACTGGATTTATACATATACAAATGCACATACATAGTGTGTTTGTGTGTTTATGTATAAATATATAGGCACATTGTAATAGAGATAACTATAGTAGGGTGCAGTATGAATAATTTGCTTAAAATCTGCTAAATAACCAAAACTTTTTAATGTCATGTTGCAGTTAATGCTTCCATTCTCCATGTGGGTGGGACTACATCGCACTTCTAAACTCTGTGCAGTACCGCATGGGTGGAAGACATATTTAAGATAATGTGCTTCCCAAAACAACTGAAAAAAAGCCATCCCACTGCATTGAGTCCTTTCTCTGGCTCTTTTTAAAAGGAAAATGCAGATTGAAACAGATCTCCTTTTTATAAAAGTCCAGGAAAGGAAAATTGATTTTTTTTGTCATTTTGCACATTTGTATTATGCTCACTTTGTCCCACTGTGACCTTTTCACAGTTATGTCAGAGTCCAAGCATTCCAAATATAAAGTGTAATGTTGGGAGACCCATGTCATGAATGCCAATGGCAAGACATCCAAGACTCTCTTAGGAACTCCCACATCTGAGTGTAAACGGACCAACCAGCCATGGAGAGCGCTGTCCTTTGTAAAGCATCATGGCAACGTGATTCCTGGTCAAGAACAGGCTTTTCCCCCCTAACCTTTCTTTTTGCAAATTGGACAGCTTATAATACCAATAACATTGTGTCTAATTTTAAAAAGGACTGTCTATACGTACATTTACCCTCGATCATCTTGGTCCCCCATTCTTTTTCTCCTATTTTTCCCTCCTTATTTGAGAACTTTTATTTTCAGTCTTAATCTTGGTTTGGCCCTATATTTCTATTACAGGAATTCTCATGAGAGGAATGGCTAGTGACCCAACTCCCCAAATGTCTAAGTGAGCAATTAAAGCCCATTTCTTCACAATGTATTATGGAATGTAGAGACTCAGGTTGTGATAGCTAGTACATGAATTTCAATGTTATTCTAAGGAACTGGGAGTAAGAAGAATTCATAGCTTAAAATGACAGTGCAGGAAGGGATATTTTGTTGTTATCAGGGCTGGAATGAATCACTGCTGCTTGAGGCAAAGGTTCTTGAATATCCTTAATTTCTGCATCCCCCCTTCTTTTCCTTTGGCTTTTATTTATTTATGTATTTATTTATTTATGTATTTATTTATACAGTTTTGCTCCATTCATCACAAACAGAAGCAAAGGTAAAACACTGTGAATCTCACAACAACCAAGCAACTATTTTGCCATCTTAACATACGTCTCAGGAGACGAAATGGGAAAAGATGGGAATGTTATTTTTCAGTCTAGGCGTTCTAGGCCAGGTCTATGTTTATTTTATTTCTTTGGTCTGTGCATTAATAAATATGATCCTGAGTGAAGGTTGGCTGAACGTTCAACATATTAGAGTAAGGATAATAAAAGCTGCCAGTGGCCATGTGTTTGAATGGCGGGGAAACGGAGAAAATGAAATACAGCGTAAAGGCCTACATCTTGCAGCTTGTATATCTTACTATTGCTTTAAAAATGTATAAAACTGCTGGAAATGTTTTAAATACAAGGTCTTTGAATTAAATGTGGATCTTAAATATGTAATCCCTTGACAAATAACCAAATTATGGTGAAATATTGCTCCCTGCATTCCTTGATCATTACTTACAAATCTGCCTAGAGATGTGGACGCTCTGCATTCGCTTCTGTATCTGGAGAGATGTTTGTATATATCCGGGCCATAGACACACTCATTTCAATATCTCTCTGCAGATATATTTCCCCTTTAATGGTGACCTGGTATTTGGAACTCTCTTTTCATTTGGTTTATTTCCTTTAAATGTGATGTCTCTGTGCCAATAGTTACTGGTTCTTGTTTTGCAATCTGTTTTGAGGTCCATTGCTTTATTAAAACCCACTGCATCTTGGCTGATTTCAAAGTGACACCTGAATACAGTGTTTAAAAAAAAAGTTTTGTTTGTAAATCATGTGACCAGCTTCTCTCAACCTGACATGGAAAGTCTCTTGTATTACAGTGTATTTAATAAAAAATGATGTCTTACAATAAATAACATCCTCCAAAAGAGAGACTAAAAGTGACATGATTACTTTTTAAAAATGCATAGAATTTCCACAAAGTGCTTTATGCTTTTTAAAAATATGTATGTGTCTTTAGACAGTCACCACAGTGGCCTACAGTGTTCATTGGTTGAAGATCATGAGAGTAAGTGCCCTTAGGTACAAGTTCCCTAGCTGATCTCTCACAGATCTGACACTTTCAACTTACATTCTGGATAGCTAGAATGTCATTGCTCATTACTTTAATTCTTGGAATGATATAAATACTCTATCTCCATTGTCCAATATGGTAGTCTTTAGTCAATGGCTCATGGGTATTTGGAATATGGCCAGTGTAGCTAAAGAACTGAACTTTAATTGACATTTAAATAGTCACATGTGGCTGGTGATTATCATGTTGGATAGTAGAGAACAAGAAGAAAGAATCATCATGGTTTCTACAAGATCAGAATCTAAGAAACCTCCCAAGAGAAATGTACATTATGATATCCTAGCGTTGGGGCAGTTTTGAGGATCTGAAGGATCCAGGAGTAAAAGTAACTGACCACACTAGTGTTGTTGTGTGTGTGTTTTTTTTTTAAGAGAGAGTGAGAGAGAGAGAATTTTAATATTTATTTCTTTAGTTTCTGGCGAACACAACATCTTTGTTTGTGGTGCTGAGGATCGAACCTGGGCCACACGCATGCCAGGCGAGCGCACTACCACTTAAGCCACATCTCCAGCCCTGTTTCTCAGTGTTTGACAGCCACATTTCCTAGTGTATGGCCTCTTCTCCGCAGCCTTCTGAGGCACAGCAGCATCTCAACAGCACTCTTGGCATAGACTTCAGGAACCTCAGGTTGGGCTGCAGACTGTCCAAAACACAAAATCTCAAGCATTGCCTCTTGAATACATCCTCCCAGTGGTACAGTTATATTTTCCTTGAGTTGAAAAAATATGACCAGATTGAAACTCAGGAATAATTGGGGGAATTCCAAGCTATATAGGGGTCAACAACTTGTCTAAAATTCCAAATAGGATCATATATCCCTGTGTGGTCAAAGTGTTTACCCATTCAAAGAAACTGGATTGAAGGAGGAACATGTAACCACTAATGCCTTGGTCAGTAATAACCCAATTTGGACTACTAAAGTTCTTTATACCATGTTGCATTTTATATATTTTTTAATATTAATACAATTGCAATGTTACCTGTGGAAATCAAATGCTTCAGACTCCTCACCAATTCTCTGTATAGCCTATCCAGTTTTCCCTCTCGCAAACACTCCTTTTGTGCACCCAGAATGTTGCCTGATTTCTTGGATGAGAACAATACTTCTGAAGTATGGTTATTAATCTCATTTAAATAGACATACTTATTTTTAGAATGAATCACCTAATAAAACAATGCTTACTGTATGCCATGAATATTAGTTTCTGTTGGCTATTGTAACAAAATACCACAAGCTAGATTACTTAAGACAACAGAAATTTAATCTCTCACAGTTCTGGAGGCCAGAAGTCTAAACTGAGGTGCTGGCAGGGCTGAACTACCTCTGAAGGCTCCATTGGAGAATCTGTTCCTTACTTGTTCCATCCTTTGGTAGCTCCAGATGTTCCTTGGTTTCTGGCCACATCAGACCAATCTCTGCCTCCATGGTCACACAAAGTCTCCTCTTTTTCTTCATATATCTTATCCACCGGGTGTCTTTTGCATAAATATGTGATTACATTTAAGGCTTCCCCAGGAAATCTAGGATGTGTTTGTCAGATTTCCATCACTGTGACAAAATGCCTGAGATAATCAACTTATATGGAGGGGAGTTTTATTTTAGCTCATAGTTTCAGAGATTTAGTCCATAGTCTCTTAGCTCTGTTTCTTTGGGACTGGGGTGGCACAGTACCCTGTGGTAGAAGCATGTAGTGATTTCATGGCAGCTTAAAAGTAAAAAGAGGGACAAGAAGGGGCTGGCATTCTAATATCTCCTATAAAGGCACAATCCCCAGTGACCTAATATCCTTCCACTAGGTACAGCCACCTAAAAGTTCTAGTTAATATAAGTAAAATTATGCATTAATTCATTCAATCCTCAAACTCTGTGATATTGAAGAACACATGGGCCTAGCTCCAGGCAACTGGCAGAAATGCAGGTACCTGACTGCATAAGGGAGTGCTCCAATTAGGGTCTTGGCTGGCCATGTGACCCTGTTGAGAATCTGATCTCCACGTCCCTACAGACAGGCAGGAAGCAATTCAATGGCCTGGGAATGAGATTTTCAGTAGGAACTACAGCCAACATTCAAGCTTCAAGGACACTAGACAGTCCGTGGGAAATTGAACTTGGGGTGTGAGGCAGGACTTTAGCCATTAGTGACACAGCAAAAGTTTGGCCACCAAGCTGAAGTCCAAATCAAGTCAGAGCTTCTGGCAAGTTCTTATTTGTGCTTTCCTAGGGTCCTATTCCTAATCCCACTCCTCTTTATTCATCATTCTGGTGGAGGAGGAGCCTGCATATGGATAAGGCTCTTAGTAATGGTATTCTGGGGCTAGAAAAAGGGCAGTGTTAGGCCGGGGTTTAGGGGCAGCTCTCCTGTAGTAAGATTTCTGCATAGTTGGCCACCTGCCTGATGTCATGTTCTTTGGTAGCCTCCCATCATTAGAATTACATAAGATCTAAGGTCTCATTCCATATCTGCCATCAGGCAAGGTACTGTAAAACAGTCAGTGTTTTTCGGTGAAAACAAGATTTAAACAAAAGTCTTCCAAGCCAGCAATGATTTATACTATCAAGATTACCAGGAACTTTCTTTTCCTGAACTTTTGCCTAACTCACACTCAAAAGCAGATGTAATGATATGCTAAAACCAGGACCTGGCCCAGCCCAGCCTCTATTCAGACCAGGTGACAGTGGGGGACAGCAGAGGACCCAGAGAGATCTGGTTAACAAAAATTGCTCTCCTAGTCTGCCATATTCTTCTGCCCCCTTAAGGCAGGAATGGTGGTGACCTACACAATATTTCTAATACTAAATCTTCAGAATCAATCATTACAGAAAAATAGGTAAACAGCTTAGTATCTCCTATGCGGATTAAGAAGCCTTTGATATTGATAACAAAATTTTAGGTTCCAATTAACCAGTAAAGTCACTTCTCACATGGGTCCTAGTTATGTTATCACCTCTAGGGTATAGGCTAAACTAAACTTGTAAACACATATTGCATGGTAAATGCTGAATTTAAAGTCAATGGCCAAACAGACTATGAAACAACTTTCAGAAGGACAACTACACTCTTCTATTGTTGATACAGATTTGTAGCTACCAACCCAAGTGTGCAAAATATTACTGTCTTTATTTTCCTTCCTTTAGCTGTGGCTAACTCTAGCCTACATTCTGTAGGAACAAAACCAATCTTGAGTTACCTTCACTTGGGGTACCTCTCTATCCTAGGGTAACCCATGGATCTCAAGGCTCACTGGAACCTAGGAAATATGACAAGTGGCTTTATATTACTTTCTCATGACCCAGTGGCTCTAGTGCCTCCATGGAGAGCTCCATGTCTAGGACAGAATATCCCCTGACACACCACAGCCATCTCCCCAAACTCCACCATTTCCCACCGCAGTTGGAAGGAAGGGCCAGCAGGTCTCTTTTGCTCCAGAAATCCACAGCCACCAATATATTCCTAGGCTTGAGGAAATCTCTGTTCTCAGCCCTTGCCTTTCTCTTAATTCAATCATCCCCTAGAAGAAAACGTTAGATCATTAGTCAGCATTTATATAATTCTAAGAATGAACATGCTATTTGATCTGAGGCAAACAGTAAACCATGGTTATTTTCCCTTCCTTCATAATATTTTGTTTTCTTGGAAATTAATGATTGTTTTTTATTTGTTTGCTTGTTTGATTTCTTAGGTTTCTAATTACCGTTAATTCAAAACCATATTCTTAGCTACTTGTCTAAATCTACTATCAAAACATTCAAATTCATCATATATTTTATTCATTTTATCTGCCTGAGCAGTGTCTCCTATAGTCTTCTCAATTGATCCAATCTCCACAGGTCGTCACTAAAGCTGGTGCACAGCAACCATCTGGAATCTTTTTATCAGGATCTGGAGGTGCCTTTTTCTCTCTCCTGCATTGTACTCCTTCTTTATGCCTTTCTGTATCCAATGACCCTTCTTTCTTGACTTGGTGGAACACATCTTTTGATAGTTTTCTAAGTAAAGGTACACACGGTATAAAATTTTGGAAATTATTCTTGTCTAAAGATGCTTTTATTGCACTGTCAACTTAATTGACAAAAATTTAGCTGAATATAGAATATTAGGTTGGAAATTTCCTTCAAACTTTGGAGACCTGTCTTCTAATTTGGCACAATTGCTGAGATGTTCAAAGTCTCTTGATTCTTGACTTTAAAAAAATTTTTTTAGTTGTATATGGACGCAATGCCTTTTTTTTTTTTTTAATGTGGTGCTGGAATCAAACCCAGTGCCTCACACTTGCAAGACAAATGTTCTACCACTGAGCTACAACTCCAGCCCCAAGTCTTGATTTTTTTTATGTGATCATTTTTCTTCCTTTTGGAAGTTGGGGATCTTCTCTTCATCCTTAGTATTATAAAATTTTATGAAGTGTTTTAGTTAGGATTATACTTCATTTCTGGGGAAGGTTTTGAATTGTTTTGTTGATTTTTCCTCTTCCTACTCCTCTTTTTTTCTTTCTTTCTGGAAACTCTATTATTTAAATAATAGACCTTTGACTGGACCTAGAACTTTTCCTTTTTTTCCCTATTTTTCTAGAAGTTTTTAAAATGTATTTTGAATTCTGTTATTCCCATTTTTCCCCTTTAAGCATGATTTCCTGCTTCACTGATATTAAAATTAAATTTCTCTGTCATGATCTATAAGGTCACAAAATATATCACTCTTCAAAACTTTTGAAACCTCTTCTCAGGCCATATTTGCCTTCTCCCATCTGTTCTTCAATACCTATTATTGGGGATGCAAATCAAGTCAAGATGGCGCCT